GATGCCAAAACTCTGTGCAGAGTTCACCCTTGTAGTAAACCTGTAACACAGCATAAAAGACAGGCCCTCATATTTCTGTTTCTCTTTGCTTTTACAATGAGTAGTAAGTGTGACATTGAAAACTGTCACTAAGCATCTTTGAGTTCCTACATGTGCGTGCACGCAGTTTACTTTCTTATGCTGAATATTGATTGTTAAATTTTAACTCCAAATAGTAGAGTTGTTTGTTGTTTATTTTTTACTTCAACACCAATATGTGGGCCTGGAGTTCTGACCAGCTTTGGGTTTCTGAAGCAGCCAGGCCGTAGATAGTGCAGTGCGTCTGTACCTTTCAACAGGTTGTATTTGTTTATTTCAAAACTGATTTGAGTGAAGGCAGGGTATTGGTGCTGGAATCTGTATCTGGGTGTTGTTTTTTTCCTGTGAAGGGATGATAAGCACAGTTCAGCTTTCTCTTTGTGAAGCTGAATTCAGCTTGCCAGGGAGGGTTGAGTTGGTAAACATATCTCCTGTATTTCCTTAAGTCTCCAGCAAGATAGACCTTCATCTTACCAGAGAGAGAGAGGAGAATAGTACACCATGTGCTGCCTGTACACCATGTGCTGATCTCCTCCTAATTAGAAGCATTGAGATGAGCTGGAGGCTGCCTTATCTCTCCTTAGCATGTGAAAATTTGATGATGTTGTTTATAGACTTCCAGGGCTGTCAGAGTTGTGCCTGTATGTGCGAGCCAAATGCTGGGAAAAAAAGTGATCAATTGGGACTAGGGAGGCAAAAAAAGAGAGGATGGAAAGCAGTGTGGGGCAGAGGAGACTGAAAGAAATTGAAGGAGTTGAAAGCGAGAGTAATAAAAATAGGTTTTGTTGAGAGGAAAATAGTTATGAATTGAAATATTAGGAAAGGAAAACAGAGTGAAACTCCTTGCCCTGTTGTGCTTTTATTAGAAGAGCAGTCAAATTAACTTATCTTTTAAAATTTAGAGCCCTAAATTTTGTAACTTGAGTTTGTAATCGCTGTACTTGTACATGCTTAGGGTATGTTGGTGGGTGTCTGTAAAATTGCACAAAGGCCCCTGTCACATTCTGAGAGGTCAGCAGCAGAGGAAAGGTTTGGTGCCAGAGAAAGAAAAGCCAGTTCCCTTTCTAAATAGTTGAGAACCACTTCTACCAGAGTTGATACTGGTTCTGAAAATCAGTTTCATACCAGCTCAGGAGACTGTAACAACTGTGTTTGTGGTCATATATCTGGTGCCCTTTAACCTAAATTTCTCAGTGAACAGGACACATTTTGATTAAAAACTAGTGTTTGCGTAGAGATTCAGTGTGTTTTCAACACCACCTCAGGGAGACTAGTAAATGATAATGTTTAAAATTCATAATAAATTACAATGATGGGGCAAGAAAATTGAGTAGTGTCACTGTAGACCTTCTGTCCACAATGGGTGGTGGATCCTGCTGA